CGCGGGCCCCCCCGGGAGCCAGGGGGGCCGGGGAGCAGCCTTTATCGCCCCAGAGGAGGTGGGCGGCGGGACCGTTAAAAACATTTGCGGAAAATCATGCCAGTCTAGACGTAGCCATAATGTTTAACCAGTTAACCAATTACATGGGATTTTGCATCTCTAGTAACAAAAGGAAGTATTTCTTCACACAACACAGTCAGCCTGTAGAACTCTTTGCCAGAGGATTTTGTGAAGGCTAAGCCTAATAGGATTAATAAAAGAACTGGCGGGACCGTTAAAAACATTTGCGGAAAATCATGCCAGTCTAGACGTAGCCATAATGTTTAACCAGTTAACCAATTACATGGGATTTTGCATCTCTAGTAACAAAAGGAAGTATTTCTTCACACAACACAGTCAGCCTGTAGAACTCTTTGCCAGAGGATTTTGTGAAGGCTAAGCCTAATAGGATTAATAAAAGAACTAGATACATTCTAGAGAATAGATCCATCAGTGGCTATTAGCCAGGAAGGACAGGGATGGTGATCACTTGATTACCTGTTCTGTTCATTCCCTCTGGGCCACCTGGCATTCACCACTCTCTGAAAACAGGATACTGAATTAGTTGGATCTTTAGTTTGACCCAATATGACCATTTGTATATGCCACACTCCCAAGACAAAAATGATTTTTTGGGTAATGGTAACTAAAGCAGAGTAGATTTAATATTTCCACATTGCAAAAATGGAAATGCTGATTGCATATGTTCTATATAAACTGCATCTGAGATGTTAACCAAATTTGTAAAACACAAATGACACCCCCCCCCCCCCCCCCCCCCTTCAGAATGTGAATTTGTGTTTATTTCCTATATGAGTGAAAATGCATAGGTAATAGTGTTTTGACTGTGTGGTGCCAGTTCTTCCATCTACTTTGTGCATGGAACACTATTGATTTCTGTCTGAATTAGGGATATAAAAATGTGTTTGTTTAAGCAACTGTTTAACTTGGGGGGAGGGAGGACGGTTCCCACCCGTCCACCAGCTGATAGAGGCAGCAGCATGAGGGGAGTTGGGGCAAACAGACAGCTCCCTGGGAGCCAGTACATTCAGGGAGCCCTCCCTGCACATATTGGCTCCTGCTTGATACAGAGGCAGTGGCTCCGCAGTTGGTTGCACACAGGGAGCTCTTGTGTAACTTAAGCCTGCATGTGACTGTGAACATTAACCCATGGGCCCAGGTTCATCAGTTAACCTTGTCCACGGTTACATGTTCACATCCCTAATCTGAATTTTATATTTGGGACAATTACAAGATCAGATTCATTCTTTATCAACTTTATTCCATGTCCATACTTATTTTGTTGTATTATTTTGTAACTCTGTGTGTGTTCTTGAAATTAAAACTGTTGTTCATGTGTCTTGGTAGCACTTACAGAACGTAATGGCTGTGTCTACACTGGACCACTTATTCCGGAAAATCAGCTGCTTTTCCGGAATAAGCTGCAAGCTGTCTACACTGGCCCTTGAATTTCCAGAAAAGCAACGATGCTCTATTGTACAAAATCAGCCGCTATTCCGGAAAAACTATTCTGCTCCCGCTCGGGCATAAGTCCTTATTCCAGAACACTGTTCTGGAAAAGGGCCAGTGTAGACAGCCCAGTAGTCTTTTCCAGAAAAAAGCCCCGATTGCGAAAATGGCGATCGGGGCTCTTTTCGGGAAAAGCGCGTCTACATTGGCCACAGACGCTTTTCTGGAAAAAGGGCTTTTCCGGAAAAGCAGCCTGCCAATGTAGACGTTCCTTTTCCGGAAAAACTGAAAACGGAATAGTATTCCGTTTTAAGCATTTCCGGAAATTCATGCCAGTGTAGACACAGCCAATGTGTATAATGCTGTGGATAATGTCTGTCCTTTTACAGTAAACTTCCGATAATCCAGCACCTTAGGACCCAGGGGGTGCCGGATTATCAGATATGATGGACTATCGGAAGGGGGGGGGCTATGAGGGGTCTGTCTTTCTGTGTCTGTCATCTAAACTTTTAATCCTGGGTTTGGGACCATCTACTTATTTGCACAGCCCTCGACATTTTTTTGTGTACAACAAAACCAAAGTTAGCAAGTTTTCCAACCAGAATGACCACTGTGCTTAATCCAAATCTTGTTTTACTTTTCCAAAACAGATACACCCTGCTTGCTATGGCCAAGGCCAGTGGTGATGACATCATCAGTTATTTAGATATCTTATTGCCTTAAATATTTACAAAATAGATATCCTTTTGAAATATTTTAATATGGCTATATCTGCAAACTGTAAAAGCTGTTCTTGAAGTCTTACGCATGTGCATACCAGAGGCAGCTATATGCTGATGCTGTGAATAATACAGGATCTATGATTCCCATGGAAATTATAAGAAACTTTTTTCTCAAAGTTGTAAGTTTTTGGTTTTAGGGGAAGAAATGTGGCTAGTTTATCTAAAAAATTATATAGGTTTGGATAATACAGTGACTGAATCTTTATAGAGAAGTTTTAGGACTTGTGATGCAGTTGCAAAGCTTTGTGTGGTCTGTTAAAGAAGTTTGAATTCTACATAGCACACTGCTCAAAAGTAAATTGTGACTTAATTTTGAGGTGTAAGAAAAGATTTTTCTACCCTTCTGTGAAGCAGAATACCCTTGGGTATTCCTTTTGATTGCAATTAGAATATTTAAGGTGAAGGGTATTGCTCATTGTGAGCAATCATGGCAAAACATTGCCATTATCAATTGTTTGCTTAAAAATGACATATTTGGAGGTTACTGGGGATACCTAAATGGTTGAATGCATTAAAGCTCATTTAAGTTATATGAACGCTTCAGTGTGTAAGTTTCAGAAATCCACACACTAGTCTTACCTGAAGAACTGTTCATCATCATAAACAATATCCTCTACTTCTGTTTGACAGCTTTGGCATCACATCTTTCATACTGATTAGTTGAAGATATTTCTGCTATGTAATAACCCACAGCTGAGACAAATTGATCATTCAGTGAAGAAAACTAGAAAAGCTGGGTATTTGTAATTAAAACTGTGAATGGTATAAGGTGCTAACTCTTTTAAAAAATCTTCAAATGCATTTCAGGTTAAATAACATTTGAATATAATTGAGGGCACAAAGTTTGAATTTGGAATTGTAATGTTTTTTTATATAAAAAGCAGGTGTTCCTGAGTTGATTTGGCACCATATGATTAAAAGGGCGCTTTTTCCTCTGTGCCAGTATAGTAAGGAGTTTGCTTTACAAAAGCAACATTAAAATTCCAAGTGTTGGTCTGTTGGATTGAAAATGTTTATCATGATGAAATGTTTTAGAGAGACCTTTTCATTTGTCTTTTAAATTTGATTTTATTTTAGGTTAAAAGTACTGTAATTTTAAGGGCTTCATCTGTAAGCGGCCTTCTGATAACTCTAGTTTTACAATCTCTTTTGTTTTCTCTCCCTCTCCCTCCCCCTATAACTATTGGAAAGCCCACACAAATAAAAAGAACGATCACTGTAAAATGCATAAAATATATTTCTGTACATTGACTGTCTCACTAAAATGATTGAGTGCTCTGCAGCTTCAGAACTGAAGTTTTGTGGTATCGATTCTTATATTTTAAAAAAAAAAAAAACCTTGCAGAGCAAGAAGCATACATGAATGGCTAAATGCCTCCTTGAGAGTAGCAGCTTTGAGAGAAGTGTACAGAGCAACACTGTATTCAAACCAGCTGAACTACATTTTTTAATTTTGGTGAAACACAAGACTGAAACCACATGTGCCAAATCTTCAGCTCAAGAAAAATATTTTGAGTTACATTCCCCTGAAAAAATAGATTTATCACAGAGGCGTCTTCCAGTGTTCCCTCAAATCTATTATATGTGCAGATTTTGATGTACCTCACCAGAAGAAACAATATCTAGCTGTGAGAGCTCTGCTAATCAGCTGGGTGGCATTTGAATCTCTCCTGAGTGGTCACACAAGCACCCAGCTTTCACAGAACACTGGTACCTTCTGTGTTTTAACGACAAAGTACACTAGCAAATCTGCAGAGAAGATTAAGACTACTGAGGAAACTATTTAGCTCCTCATACTAAGGATGTTAAGAGGCAGGTAACTGACTAATTGTGTAGTCAATACGGTTTGTATCAACTACATGATTTGATAAGGGAAGGTGCTCAATCTCAGCTTGTGCTGGGTCCAAGACCTACCCTGCTGCAGCTCTGCAGTTTAGATATAGTAAGAGCAGGGCACACAGGCAGCCTTGACTCCTACTACATTTAAACTGCAGAGCTATAGCAGGGGTAGCTCCCGGACCTGGCATAAAATATGACTGAGCAAGCCTGGCTCAGACCCAGCTCATACCAGGTCTGGGAATTATTAGCAACTACATTGAACTGCAGAGCAACAGGCATAGCTCCCAGACCCGACGTGAGCTGGGATAAAAACCGGGCTTGTTCAGTCCTGGCTTGTGCTGGATCCAGCAGCCTCTGTCTGGGGGGGGGTCCCAGCAGGGAGCTGGGAGCCCTCACAGCCAGGGGCTGCTATTGTAAAGCAGCACGTTTGCTGGCGGCCTGGGCTGGCCACGAACAGAGGCTACTCCAACAGCAGTCCTTTTCTGCTTGGGGTCTCAGCTCCCTGCTGGGACACCCCACCCCCACGGACAGGGGCTGCTTCGCAGTAGCCTCCCCTGTCGTCTCCCCTCTGTGCACTGCTGCCTGTGATAGGCAGCAGTGGGGGAGGAGGTGGCACCATGAAGACAGTGTTGGAGGGAACTGGCTTTTAAGCAGGCTCTCCCCAGCACTGGCTTCTGCTATTCCCCCCACCCCCTTGCTGGCTCTGATATGGAGAGGAGGAGGGGAATGCAAGTAAGGTGACTCGACTACCCAATAAAACTACTCACTTACATCCCTATCTCATCATGCTGTCAGATACAGATGGGCAGACCTGTGCCTCATTGAAGTTAGTAGAGCATTTTGCTGGTCTGCACTGGTGGATCAAAATACAGAATTATGGTCTTCTTTCTCATTTGAAAGGACAAGCTAGTGATTTTTCTAAGTGCCTAGTGTCTACATCTCCTCTCACTACTGAAGTTGAATTCAGTCATGCAAACATTGTCTGGCAGGTATCTCAGGTTTTTAACCACATATTGTAATTCCTGCTTAAAGAGTCTAGAATAATTGTGCTTTAAAGCTCGGATGAAGCATAATTATAATACCACCTCTCACAGTGTTTCTCAACCAGTTGTACGAGTACCCTTAGGGGTACTCGAGAAGACTGGGGGCTACATCAACACAACTGAAATTTGGAGAACTGATTTTTTTGTTTTGTTTTAAGTTTTACAGCTCTTTATTATTTTTGTACTTTTTACATCCAAAAATTTCATCGCATGCCCAGCTACGATTAAATTGTTTAAACAAATGTGTTGCAATGGTAGAACATTTTTTTTGTGTGTGTCTGAAAACTATAAATAGTGGGGGTACAGGCAGTCCCCGACTTACGCGGATCCGACTTATGTCAGATCCGCAGTTACGAACGCGGCTTTTCTCGCCCCGGAGGACACGGACTGCGGGACCTCGCGGTCCTGCCGCCCGTGTACTCCGGGGCGAGAAAAGCTGCTCCGCGTCTCCCTGGTCTGCAGACCAGGAAGACGCGG